AGGTTTTTCTTATACGTATATTTATGGTCACTGAAATACGTTCACGTATTAGTACTTTTCTACTTTACGCAATGACACTGAAAGTTAGTAATAGGGACTGTTTGTTTTAATTCCTCACTTTTTATGGGTAGTTTAAGGTTTTCGAGCATTATGAAACCCTTAAAGGATTGCCGATGTTGTTATTATTTGAAATCCTTCTAAAGTTTTCAAGAATATCTTTTTTGTGTGTGTTACGAAATATTTTGTAGTACGCTTCATTAAAGATTCACTATCAAATAGTAGCTCTTTAGGAGGGCTTCCAAGTAAATAGCAACTTACCAGTAAGACTTAAAATTATGTAAGCTAAGTTTGGGTATGCCATGGTTACAGTGCAGTAATAAAAGTACATATTTAACTCATCATAAGTATACTTATAATAAAAAAAGTACTTACTTCCCATATTATTATCTATTATTTACACTGCCATAGTAATTTTTAATTTTACTTATTTTATTTCTTGAGTGTGAATTGGAACCTGCTCTTTATGGACACAAAAATCACTGAACCATATCTGTACAGATACATGTATGCATGAAACGGCTTTATGGATTGAGAGTACGTGAGTGTGTAAAGAAGGCCTACATCTACTCTCAGAAGGTCAAAGATCTTTTCAAAAACTTCTAAAAGTTTCTGAATGGGTTTGAGCTTTTCGAGAAATTGATTTTGTTTAGAGCATCGAATTCATATTCGGCCATTAAGAAATTATCTTGTAACAATTCGAAAAATAAAAAAAAGCGATCTCAATTTGAAAAGAAAAAGCTGAAAATTCAATTTATTTGAAGTTTTTCGTCGTGTCAATATATTCAACGCCTGATGAAACAGGTTTCGTTTCAAGTTACAATAATTAAACAATAATGTGCTCCTAATTGAATTTGGATGACTTATATATACAAATTTTTAAAGACTCTTTGATATTTACATCTGGACCTAGTACTGTCTCTTCGTTTGAATCGATTATTTTTTTAATGCTGCAAATGGACTTCATTTCAAATACAATACAGGCGATGATCTTCACAAAGAAACGACTTATGACCGTATAAAACATTCTGAAGTTTCTAAATCACGTTGAACCATGGCTTAGTGAAAAAAAAGTTTTAAATTCATAAAACATTCTATATAAATTTCTTTTTTGACACTTCTATTTTCAGGAGCATTGTGCTAGAACGAATTTTGAAAAATCCAACAGAGAAAGTACTTGATCAGTGTATGTAAAATTTGATGTAAGATGCCAGCTCATTAATTACTGATAAAAAACAAACACGGTAGTTTAAATTACCTTCTACAAATACGCATCGAAATTCAGCTTCATGGAAAAGAAAGCAATTAGGTGCATAAATCGATATAGGCGTCTCTTTTATGGATCGAGAAAAGAGAAGTAAGCATACTGCGTAACTAAAATAAAGATAAGCGCCTGTATGTGTTTCATTTTCACCGTAAATAATACGCAAAACAGTATTTGTCATACTTCTTGATCTGAAGTAATGCAGCATCCCCGGCAGATGCTTTTATTCTCATGACTCCATACTGAGAGAAAAAAATCTTTTTACTTTTTTTCCAACAATGGTAGTCACAGATTAAATATGCAATTCAGCGAATAAAATTCGAATATCTCCGAAATATTGGGAAGTAGCTTTGACTATTCAGACGCTTCACATACTGTTCATAATGACAATTCTTCATGAAATACTCTAATCAAGCCCTGAAAGTCGAAAATCCTAGGAAAAAAGTGAAGATGGAGTGTGAGTACGGATGGAATGAGGGTTCACAACTAAACCCTTCTTCGATGCGTGAATAAGATAGTATTAGATCGTTTATCTCAAAAAAGAAAAACTTGCAAAAGACTATATGAATGCCTTGTGAAGCGATTTCAATTTTCGCCGATGAAGTTTCAATTAATATCAGAACAATAAACAATCACATTTAAATTCAATCTTGTCTTGTCGGAGACTATTATTATCGTTTCTGTTGATAAACGTTGACTAGAGACTATAGCTCATCACTTTTTATTGTCTCAAAAAACCATTTTTCGAAACCTATTGAAGATTCAAAAGCATTAACATCATCGGCAAACACATTTTTTTCTGTTATAATTCAAGCAAATTTCTTTATAGTAACATGTATACAAAGTATGGACGTCGAATGCATACGCGATCGATTATAGAAATGTTCTGTTTCACACCACAACAATTAAAATAATGATTTATTTTTTTCTCAAATAAAAAGTGTGTTGTCTTCTGTAAATTCATCATATAAGAACACATAATCGTTCTAAATAGATTCTTTATTCTAAATTTTCATCTGATGATATCTTTTTACTTATTTTGATTGGATCAATTCATCTCTACGAAATATAATGTACATGTCGTTGAAGCTAGCCGAACCGGATCGTTCACTCGGGGAAAATAGTGATTCTATTGGACGATTCGTTAAGCAATAGATATCGTAATATTCGTAAAACGCCAATAAAGGGGAGCACAAAATAAATAGGTTTTGGATACTAGTCGTATTAGTGATGTTATATTTGAAACATATTTGTCGTTTAAAATATTTCTCCAATAAATCATAATTAGTATTCTTATTGAATTGCATGCAGTTTTATTATCAATGCAGAACGTAGAAAACAGAGTAATTAAAGAAATATATATAGAATAACAATAAAACCGACAAAAGATAACATTTTCGAATAGCTTTTATTAGCATTGTATGCGAGAAGAAATTACAGAATTACGAGAGTTCTCTTCCTAATGAATTTTCTGTCGAAACATAATTTGTTTTGTGCATAATAAAAAGTTGATCGATAATTTCACCGGTTAATGCATTGCCTAATTCGACTTCATATAATCCTAACATAAGTATCAAATCTGGTGAGCATCTTCGAATGCAATCAAAATTCGCAACACTATAAATGCTCATCGTATCATTCAACCTCAACGTATCCATTCACCACAAACATCCATAAACCCTATTGCATGTTTTCAACATGTTCTTATATAAAGCACCTATCTCTAGTCAAGCCAGTATCGCTAGTACTAATACTCACATTCTTATAAATTGTCCCACTATGCCATCGACTTTTTCATGGTGTTCAAAACATATCTTAGAACATCTCGACTTGATGTATCGCATGAAACGTTTTTTAAGATAGCATGAATTTTTGCCCATGGTACGATTGTTTATACGAATAATAGGTAAATTACATTTGTGCTACTGTTAGACAGAATATTCGAACCCGCTCCACACATAATTTTGAACATCTCTACTAGCTTTCCATATTGAGATGAGTCTTTAGTTAGCACAACTTTTTCCATGTTGGCAGTGGTACTACTAACAACATTACCTTAATTGGTGCTACTCTAGGACGGGGTTTTCGAAGCTGTTCAATGCATCATTTTTAAAATCTCGAGATGCTGTACATGTTTATGTGATTTTAAAGTTAGCACAAATTTTCCCTCATGATGTTGGCGGCGGCACTTGAGAATGTGGGTGACTTTAGAATAAAGATTAACACCCACACTCACTCCCATACCACACCCACCCACATCACACCCACCCACACCACACCGACACACCCACACCCACACCCACACACCCACACCCACACACACCCACACCCACACCACACCCCACACACCCACATCCACACCAACACCCACATCCAGCCACACACCCACACACCCATCCATACCCACACCTACATCGCCCACACCCACACCGACACCCACACCACACCCCACACACCCACATCCACACCAACACCCACATCCAGCCACACACCCACACACCCATCCATACCCACACCCACATCACCCACACCCACTCACACCCACACCTATCCACACCCACACCCCACACCCACTCCGACACCACACCCACCCACACCACACCCACACACCCGCACCCACACCCAGTCACACACCCACACCCATACACCCACACGCACACCAACACCCACACCCTAATTTATTTCGCGTAAGAATAATCAGCAAAGCAATGACTAACTATCTAAATAATATTCATTTGCGACGTCATGAACAAATGATATATCAATATGCTCGTCGAATTTTTCGAAAATATGTTTCAACAAGTTTAACAAATTCTAAGAAATACCGAGCAAAATACATTGTTTTGCTTCGGGCATTTCGAAAACATGCTGCAGAAGGATCTGAGTATGTTTGTACTCTATGTCGATTCACATTCTTTCGTGATCAAGTATTATCATGTATTGAACAAAAATATTTAAAAAATTGTAGATGCCAAGAAACAATCAAATGTATCAAATCATATGTATATAGCATTTCTCTACCTAATATTAAATGAGTCTGTAAATCATGTTCAAAGAAATTAAAACGTCAACGAATGCCAAGTCGAGCAATTATCAATAACCTTGAAGTTAGTGAAATTCCAGTTGAGTTAAAAAAATTAAATGAATTAGAACGACATTTAATTGTTCTTCGACTACCGTTCATGAAAATAGTGAATTTAGTGTCAGGAAAAGTTTCTAACAGATATGCACAAAAAGGCACAAAAGGACCACTACATTGTGTGCAGCTGATGTTAAAGATACAGTATTTAGTTTACCACGACCTGTAGATTGATCGATAATGATTTGACTACAATTGAAACGACAATTAAAATATAAAGCAGTATGGGAAGAACAATAGATTAATCTTAACGATGTTCGTGAAGCATTACTTGTTTTAAAAAAGAAACATCCAGCATATGAAAAGATTGACATACGTGAAATCGTTGAAAACTATTGGATCTCTGACCAAAAACAATTACTAACTGTTGTTGACGAGAAAACGATTGAAATGATAAATAACAGCAAAGAAAAAAAAGAAATCTCACCACAAGAAGTAGAGTCTAAAGAAAAAGAACTGAAAGAACGATTAGCTCTTGGTGATATGGTTGAAGATATGAGTGATGATGAAGAGATGAGCGAAGATTAACAGGACGTGAGAATGAAATATAGTCTAGGAACTGCATCGTGTATTCAACCTGTTGATTCTAATAATTCCGTAATATTTAATAATGACAGAGATATATTAGCAGTAGCACCTGCTGAAAAAAACAAATTAAGTTCATTATTAATAGAAAAAAATATCGAAACACTTGCTTTTTCACATCTATTTCCTGATGGTAAAGGTTCATGTGATGAAGAAAGAATCACTAAGCTTAATGGGAAAGAATATTGCAAAGCACGACTTTTCTCTGCTGATTTATGTTTCGCATCTGATGCAAGTTATATTTTTTACTTGCAATATCTTGGTAATTTGAAACAAGCATTTTCAGGAAGTAATATTGCTTTGCGAAAAATGCTTCCTTTGACAGCTAGTCAAAGTAACGACGAGAATCAATTAAAATTTCTTTTTAAAAATGACATCATTTATCGTTATTTACAATCTGTACATGGAAGTCCACAATTTTGGTATGAACGCTTGAAAGACCTTTTCAGTATGAATCGTCAGTTAGATATCCCGACATTGTTCATCACATTGTCATGTGCTAATATGCGGTGGAAAGAATTCCTTGATGTAATGGCTCGAGTCAATGAACAAGAAGTGAAAGAAAACTACTCATTTCAGGAAAAGATAATCTTATTTGCACGAATCCTGTCATAGCTGCAAGAATGTTTGAAAGACGATTCAAAATGTTTATAAATATGTTCATCAAAGGTGGTGCATTTTGTTTGGGAAATGTGAAAGATTGGTTTGCACGTGTTGAAATGCAACTGAGAGGATCATCTCATGTTCATGTGCCTCTTTGGGTAGATAAGGCACCAAAATATAAGGGAAAGAATATGGATGAAAAAACTATTTCAGAGATTATAGAATTCTGTGATAAATATATTACAACTAGATTTCCATCAAGAGAAGAAGATGCTGAATTACATGATATAATCAAAGATGTTCAAACTCATTCTCGTAATCACTCGAAATCACGTTTAAAATTTCATAAAACGATTTGTCGATTCGGTTTTCCTTCTGCAATTTCTCGTCGAACACTTATTTCTTTGCCATATTTAGTTGAAAATGAGGCAAAAGTCGAACGAGTTAAGATTGCTAAGAAAACATTGAGAGATATGAATATTGAATTGAATGAACTAGAGAAAGAAAAAATTTTGAATTGGACAAACTTTGATAGCCTTCTTGCTAAGCATGGATAGATATACGAACAATATGAGTGGTCTCTTACTACTGTTCATATTCGAGGATGTGAGTGTGGGTGTGGATGTCTTTTTCTCATTCACACCCTCAGCCATACCAACACCACACACCCATACCCTCATTTATTTATTACCGTTTCGGCTGCTAAACATCAAAATCGTGCATTAGCTGTCCAAAGTCATATTGTCTGAGAAATCATTGAACAACGATTAAGACATATGCCGAACCATTGACTCCACTATGATATTATTATATGTCCCATAAACCAAAACAAACATTGGTACATAATAATTATAGATATTCAAAACAAAATATTAGTACAACTCGACTCACTACCATCGCATCCACTATCACGACAACGAAACTTGAACCGCCTAGTCTACATACTAAACGTTGAAAATCAACTGAAAACCCGAAACGATATAGACTTCCAAAACACGTGGAAACTCTGCGTACCAAGTGAACACCTCCGTTTGCTTCAAACCGACGGATACTCCTGCGGCATGCATCTGCTCTATCAAGCGGAAATCTACATCAATCAAAAGAAACAAATTCCAATACCTGCCGATAAAATTCAACTACTGCGACACCAAGTAGCCGAAGATATTCTTCGCAAAGCAGACCCTATGCCTAATGAAAGCGACTCATCAGTGAGTAAATCATCATAAAAAAAAGCATTCTAATACCTATTACTTTTCTTCAGCTTTTAGATCTCATCCCTCCAACCAAACGAACAAGACGACAGTGTACAACTAACGAACTATCCTATACGAAAACAATTCTTTATAAAATCCTAACTAAAAAATAAATCAAACCTTATCTGAAATCAAGCATAAACTGATAGTATCCACACACATAATAAAACTTCCATATCAAACAGAATACCTGAACACATATTCTCCACAAAATCTTACACACATCCTAAATAAAGTACCAGGCGAAACAGCGGCCACAAAAAAAATCACTACTTAGTACGACTAATCCTATTCGTAGGTGATTCAGCATATATTCAACCTCCAGAGCCGAATCTTCCTTGGAAACACAGATCAATCCACAAAGAATTGAATTTATAATCCGCTCGACCGCATCCGATTTCCCGCGATGGATAGGTCGAGTACTGATAAACACTTTTTTGGGAACACGTTCATTTCAAAACCCATCCCGGATCGAAAATTTCCTTAGGTTTTTCTTTTCTCGAATGGATTCTCTCTTCAATCAATCTATCTATCGAAAAAGAACTAAATTCTGCATCGGCTGAGACCCTCCGATGTCCCGGCGATGGATGAGTAGAATACTACAAAGAGTTTTCTACAAAGAGTTTTCTACAAAGAGTTTGGGTTCAGAACCTATGGTGGGGCGAGATTTTCCCTAGATTTTCTTGTCACAAAGAGATTCTCTTTCGAGTATATCTATATGAATTGATAGAAAATGAAGTTGTGGATAGAAAAGAATAGGTGAGATCTCCTGGTTGTTGAGATATTGGGTAGTGTGAAGCTGTTTGTATGCAGGTGGTGGAGTTTGGTATATGACTGTTCTTCGATTTATACAGGTTTCTTTTTTGGAAAATGGCTGCATTTGCGTTCTATTAAATGAAACGAAAGCTGATTTTTTCGTCAATGGGGCTGAGTAAAGTGTTGGTCATTGCTATGTGAAAATGTTTTATGGGTGAAGTCTTTTTTTCAGAGTATAGCTTCACTTTTTTTTGATACGTGAATGATGAAGGAAAAGATTGTTATAGGTTTCTACTAACTTCAGTGTATATGGTTGCTAAGGAGAGTGCTTCGGTAAAATGTGAATTTTTCGTGGTATTCTGTGAAACGAATTGGATTGGTCGAATCGAATATGCAATTTGATGGGTCGTCGTGCTAGCTTCTCATCGATTGCTAGGGTAGGAATTTCTTGTATTCAGCTCAGACAACATCAACCTCTAAGTCGCGAACCAAATCCGCACTAATCCTCACAGAAAGTATTTTTTCGTTTCGAAAGGATGATTTTACGGTAGCGAATACAGGATTAGCTGCTAATTTCCGCTAAAAAGAATCTATCGCGCACGGTGAAATTCTCCGAGTAAGTTTTGAGGCGCACTTCACTTCATTGGCTATAGCAAAAGATCTTATTTTTCTTATTTCGCAGTAAGTTCCTAAGAATCTTTCTAGAAGACATCACATCAGTTTTTCCATTACTTTGTAGTATTCAGTAGGTACTAGGAAACTCAAGTAAACTCGGTTCTTATAAATTTCACTCTTTCAGAACAATATTTTCCAAATTCTTAAACTTCTTCATTTTACAGCATAACTATAACTGAGGGAATTCTACTATTCTCACTATTTTTTCTCTTAATGTGTCTGAATTTTACGCAACTTAAGATGTACCGAAACCGAAAAAATAATCTTATTAGGAACAATACTAAATGCCCGCAATTCTGAAAATCACAAGAGACAAAATTTCTATTCCCCAGACAAAGAATTCTTCTAGGACCTATAAAATACCTCAACACCACCTAGTCAATAGAAAAGTTTTCCTGATCATGTTAATCTGTAGCACATCCATGGTAGTGTATATTCACAAAATTTCCTCATTAAAAATAGCGAAAACGTGAAATAAATGGGTACCACAGTAGTGATGGTCATTTTTCAGCTAAGAATGCTTCTGTTACAATTACAATATCTCAACAGAGGCAACGATTTTGGAACAAAAAATATTAGCCTTTACCAAATCTCAATTGGTACCACATATAGGCAAAGGACAGGGGCGCATAAGAAGCCGATTTGGCCCATATAATATTTTCAGTCAATTTATTGCCCATCCTATGTGGAAAAATGTGGCGATTCTTTTGGTAATAATTTCAAGTCAAACTGTAAGGATTATATGCTACTTTGAAGGATAATACCTGCCAAAAAGTATTGATGTTTCATTGGGCTCATAGTTGTCTAGTATTAGCTTAAAATATACAACTTTTAGGCAATGTTTCAAGCTCAATCTACATTGGTCACAAAGAGCATTTAATTCTGCATCGTTTCATATAAGAACTACTATTCTTTCATTAAACATTTAATCATGGAAAATGCTATCCTTTCACAGGGGGATGCTTTGGTACCTCACATCCGAACAATAACTAGAACTGTTTGACATATTTTTACGTATAAGCCAAGCTTTTTTATATACCAATCAATAGAGCGAAGAAAGGGCTACAAGATGATGCATAATTTATTTGATTTCAATATGGGCCACTATATCGAAAGAGTGCATGAAGTATTTGCGAGCACAAAAAGTGCACTTTTCTGCTCATTATTGAGCGAATTTGATAAGAATAATTCAGCTTTTGACAGAAGAGAATGGTATATTTGAAATCAGCATAAAAAACTAAGTCGATCCATATAGCTTTGAAAATTTTCTGAGTACTTTTATTTTCGTCGAAAAATTCAGCTGGGGTCCCCCTCAGGGTTAGGTCAAAAAATGAAATCGATTGAAACGCCATTCGGACTGAAAAACAAGTTCTGCAGTTCTTAAAAGTTAAGAAAATTAAAAAACACAAATGACTAATAAATAAAAACACTGTTTTAATGGATTTCATTTTTTGACCTAACCCTGAGGGGGACC